TGCCCGTGAAGAGTTTCTATGCTCCTTTTTCTGGCAATTGGAACTTGAAGATTATTTTTTGTATCTTTTCTGAAGGATTAAGTAATATCTCTTTTAATTATTTAGGTGATTTGCTGAAGCTGTTGGATGTTTCGTCGGTGGATAACATGCTGTTAACTACATATGGCAAGTTACAGCCGCCTCTTGGAAAACATCGGTTAAAGGTGAATATTCTAATGTCTTTTCAAGTTGTCCTTGCTCAAATTTAAGAATTGAGTTCTTTCTCTACAAAAGTCTTCCGGTATGTTTGGACTGTTTGTTTTGGGAACATTATTAGTTTAATGGAATATTCAATTAATATGTTCACAAGCCACTTGAAACTTTCACAGCGTGTTTAAGGGTGATGTTTATATTTTAATTCTGGTCTGAACATGGTACTTTTCAGGTTGTAGAGTTCATTTCAGTATTACTTACGGTTGGCAGTGAAGCTGCTGAGAAGGAATTGATTCGTCTTGGAGCTGTACAAAGAATTTTAGACTTGTTTTTCAAGTAAGCACAAAAGTTTTCATGTTTACTAAAGAGTGGTTTTATACAAGGCCTTATCCGTGATTCTGTTGCCTCTCCAGGTACCCATATAACAACTTTGTACATCACCACATAGAGAACATAATTGTGTCGTGTTTGGAAAGCAAGAATGTTCCTCTTGTCGAACATCTTCTTCATGAGTGTGACCTTGTTGGAAAAATACTTCAAGCAGAAAAGAATTTCACATTGGCAGCCGACTCGGACAAGGTGCTGCTGCTGCATTGTATTGTAAAATATTAATACCTTGCATCCAGATCATTTTTGTACTTTTTATATTTTTTTTTCTAATCGTAGTTTATTGAAACGGTATTTAAACATTGTCTTGTTTCATTTTTCTTTCAGCCAACTGTTCCTGTTGAGGGTAGATCCCCACCCAGAATTGGGAACATTGGACATTTAACACGTATATCCAACAAACTCATTCAGCTAGGAAATAACAATAGCGAGATTCAGACGCTGCTGCAGGTTTTTATTTATGTTTCTTTGTATTTATACTTATAGTTAGCCTTTTCAGTTTATGAAAGTAAGTTTTCTGGAAGTGAAGTATTCTGTTATCTATATGCTGAATAGAAAATAAGTTTTTGGAAATGAAGTATTCTGTTATCACTGTCGAAGTCATTTTAGAGTTGTAATTATCTTGCAGGAAAACAGTGAGTGGGCGGAGTGGCAGGCAAGTGTCCTGTCAAAACGTAATGCAGTCGAGAACGTCTATCAGTGGGCCTGTGGGTATGTGATTTTCCCTCACAAAAGCATTTGGTTTCTTCATGTCACATTTACTGTTGATTTGCGGTGCAAGTTCTAAAACTGTAGTAAATCACATATAGTTACTAGTGGATACAGCAAACATGATCAACATGCTTTTTATTCTAGTAAAATATTGCTTTTGTTGTTTCATTGATACAATACTGATTATCAATGTGACCTATTTCATTTTTTATTACCTCTCCACTGTCCTAAGGAACTCATGTTTTCGGCTATCTAATCATGGTAAATCAACTGTAACAGGCGGCCAACTGCTTTACATGATCGAAATAGGGATAGTGATGATGATGACTATCAAGATAGAGATTATGATGTTGCAGCCCTTGCAAATAACTTAAGCCAGGCTTTCCGATATGGAATTTACAACAATGATGAGTTAGATGAGGTACCCCCTGATACCTTTGATTATCTTAAAATCCTATTTATACACACTGTACATTGAAAGAGACAACTCAAAGGGAAAATACACAATGGCGAGGAGAAAATAACTTAGTATTTTATGGTAGCCTATATCATAAGAGCAGACCGTGTTTTTTTTTCTTTTTGAACCTTTAGACTAGAAAGTAAAGTACCCTTGGAGTTGGTCAAATGTTAGAAATAAAGAAAAATGATAGAAGATAGACCTGTTTAAATCTTCAGGAGTAATTTACACTATTATCATATGCACATCGCTGGGAGTAGGATATCACATAGAACAAGTTTCCTTTTTAGACTAGACAATTTGGTGCTTTAATTTTGTTTTCTTAAAGTCCTTGTTACTGTGTTTAACATTTAAGAAAGCTATTAGCCTATTATTCTATCCACTGGCCCCTGGGATGTTTACATGATGATATGTTGTTGGTTGATATTTTCAGCATCTGGAATTTTTGTAATTTTATTGCACCAGCTATGAAATTTAGTGGTGTCTCATAATTTGGTCCTGGAGGAAATGGAAAGATGACAATGTCCCAAAATGTTCCAAACACTTGTGTCATTCTTACTTAGTGTCCCTGTGGTGATGATTACTGATATTAATACTCTTCATGCATTTCAGGGCCATGGCTCACTTGAACGAGATGACGAGGTATCAAATATGCTGCCAGCTTACTCAATTCAGTGATTATTAATTTTTTTTCTTGTTGATATGTTTTTGATAATATTAGGGTTGACTACTGTTAAAGGTTTTCCAACTGTTCCTTGCAAAATATTTTTGGCTCAGGATGTCTACTTTGATGATGAATCTGCTGAAGTCGTCATATCTTCATTGCGTTTGGGAGATGACCAGGAAAGGTAGGTGGAAAGTCCTTTAATATTTACTCTTAAGATTCTATTAGGATTTTTGGCAAGACAATCCTATAGCATGAAGCTGTTTCCAGAGTTTGATTGCCACAACAAATCTATGCATGTAGGCTATACCTGGCAATAATGTCATGAAACATTGAGATTTTTATGGGTATCTTCTCCTTCCTCAGCCTGTCCGGTAAAGAATAGGGGTGCTGCTATTGACGCTCTAAAAAAGCTTTACACTCCAAACTTTTTATATTTAGAAATAAAAGTACACTTATTGCATGTGTATTAATGACTTTTTTGGATTGTCTCCCAAGAATTAGTGATCAACGGAATAAATATTTTTTTCCTGCTGGTCCGGTTTGTATCTACTGGGAATATGAACTTGGGTTAAATTACAATTGTGGTGGCAACTAAGTCTACAATTTTTTTGTTGAGTTAATAATTTCCCTTATTTTTTAGCTTATAATGCTGGGTTTGAAGCAAACAGTATTCTTTCCATGTTGTTCCCTTGGTTTATGGTTCTTTGCATGGGTAGTGGGACAGTGGGACTAAGCTTCTGAATGGATTTTTGGACTTTTACTAGTGGTGTTATTGTGCATATCTAGCTCTCCTGATTATGTATAAAAATCCGGTGCTTTGAACTGCTTGACATGTTTTCCGTTCTGATTGCAGTGGTTCTCTGTTTACAAATTCCAACTGGTTTGCTTTTGAGGATGACAGGGCTGCCACTGATCACTCAACTGGCTCTCTTGCTTCTCCATCACCTCATACGGCGGAGTCTAATGTTGTCAATGGTGGCGGGGATGATGATGATGTCATTGTTGGTGAAGATGATGACTTAGTTGACACCGCAACATCTTCTCCGGAACCAGGAATAAAACCAGAAGATTCGGAAGTTGCCGTCCCAAACAATTCGTTAGAATTGGGTCCCGTTGAAACTGAAAAACCACCTGAGTGGGTTGAATGGAGGGAGACTTCAGACTCTGGGGAACCCTCTGATGCCCTAGCAAATGGTGAACTTCAAACGAAATCTGCCGATGCAGCTAAATGTTCATCATCTTCTGAGCCATTGATGAAAGATGATAAAGTTGTTACCGAGCCTCAAGCTGAATCAACGGTTGAGGGAACTTCAAAGCCGCCTGAGCTGTCAGAATCAGGCAATGAGAAGCCAAGTTCTGAGTCAACCACTTCTGATGCTGCAGCTGCCGACGTGGGAACAAAAGGCAGTCAAGAAGCGGCTCCAGGAGATAAAGAGAAAGATAAGGAAGGGAACTAGTGTAAATTCTTGATGATCAGTTAACTGGGCTAACTCATTACACCACGACATTGATCGGGTGGGAAGTTGAACCTAGACACTTGTTGGTTGGGCAAAGGCGACTGTATCTATAGGGCCCTGCGCACATCATCGAAGTGGACGATGATATTTTTCCCCCACCTGTAAGAAATTGATCTCTCCTCTCTCTCTCTCTCTCTCTCTCTCTCTCTCTCTTGCCTCCCGCCCCCCTCGCCACCATTTAAACATTGAGGAAAAGGGAAGGGGGGCGGGCAGGTTCTCGTTTGCAGACGCTCGTAGTGAAGTAATTTTCACGTTTCATTAATTTGTCTAAAGCTTAGGTGTTACAGAATTTGGATTTGTGACGTGCCCCGCCGCTTGTATTTTTTAGCAAGAACCTGTCAATATACATAGTTGCCCTTCCCCCACTCCCTTTCTCCCTCCCCTCCTCTCTCTGAATATGGAAATTGATTTTGGAAATGAGTTCATTGATTGTCTGGTGCATTTTCATGTCTTTGATCTGATGGTGGATTTAAATCGAAATTCCGGCGTTACATTTGAGATGTCAACGTGCTGTTATAATTCGTATGCAGCATTTCCCATCAGATTACTTTGTTATTTCAGGCTACGACTGGAAGAGCATGATTTTACTTTGTGTTTAGTTTCAGTATTTGCCACGGACTTATATGAATTTATGCAGAAATTTTTCGATGTACCGGGAACACGTTTCGGTGCATCAGATCTAACCACTTATATTCGGAGTGTGTTAAGAAGTTTTAGTTGAGCTACACAATGTGTTGTAATTCCTTTCCCGTCACCAGAAAATGTTGAAAATAAGACCTTCAAGTGGTGGATTGCCCTGCTTTTTCTCAACCCACCTCATGGTATAAAACTAACGTAGAATTTTGGTAGTAATAAAAAAATTAAAATATGGGTGAATTACATAAAATTACTCAATTATTGGGTCAGTTACAGTTTTATATCTCATTTTTAAAAAATTTCAATGTCATATCTCATCTACGAATTTGTTACAATTTCATACATTCCGTTAGTTTGTCTGTCAAATAGTGACGTGGCTTGAGATGTGACCTATTTTTATTAAAAAATTAATAAAATATTATAAACTAAAAAATAAATTTTGTTAATGTTTTTTGTTTTTTTGCATGGGGGACCCACCTTTATCCCCCTCACCCTTCTTCCCTGCACCCTCTTCTCCTAACCCAAAACTAGAACCACCCCAAACCCAGGTCCCACCCACCCCAACATCCTCCCCCACCCCCCACCATTACCATTTGCTGCACCAGCTCCTACAACACCTACTACTGCACCTGAACCCACCACCCCTACCCTCCACCAACCATTGACCCACTTCTCCAAGCCCTTACTTCTCAACTCCTCCAATCCACCTCATCAGATCCCTACTCCCCCCCTCCCCAAAATCTTCGCCCTAAAAACCCTCACCACACCCACAATGCCCACCACCCAAAACACCGTTTCTACCAACAACCACAACAAGACCAACTTATCTCCTCCCTCTTTTCCCGCATTGAAGTCCTCGAATCCTCCATCCACCACTACTCATTCTCTACCTCGCACTGCTCTCACTCTCCGTACTCATGTTCTCTTAGAAACTCCGCCGTCTGAGTGATTCAAACCCACTTTCGTTGTAACGACCCATCCCAAAAAATTACGGTTTATTTTAAAAAGTGAAATTATGAAAATGCCCTTTGAGGCAAATGTATTGATTTTATTTGACCGCCTTGTCGTGTCACGTAAGATCCGTTTTCTTGGCGTATCCTCGTAGTACTCATCGCTACGATCGTGCGGACGCGAAGGGAACGTAATTTGGAGTTATAACGAATGAGTTATTAACGAATGAAGTTGAGGGCAAAATGGTCAATTGATCATTTTTTGGAAGGCTCCAGATTGTTGGAGAAACAAAATCTGGGAAGCCACGCATGTGGCTGTAATGGAAAGATAAAGAGACAAAAGAGGGTGGGTGCTGCTTAATCAAGAAAAAGGAGAAGATAATGAACAAATGATAAGAGATAGCAAAGAGGGAAATGAGGGAGAAGAGAAAGAAGGGAATTGGCCAGGTTCCCCTTGACCTGTGTGACCGACTCGGTTTCCTTGGAGTTTCCCGATGTTTTCTATCCAATTTTGCGGCTTTCTTCAACCTCCCATAACCACCAAACCTCATCTTAACACCTAATTCTAGCCAAACCCGACGAGTTTTAGCCCCAATGTGCGAGAAAACCCACCGGCGGGTACATGTGGTTCTTGGCTTTGAACCACCATTTGTGAAATGATTTCTTTCAATCTCCACCACCATTACACTTTCCTTGAACCTAGGAACAAAGCCCAAACAACCGTGGAGATGGCGAATGACTGGAGGTGATGGATCAAAGCACACCATTTTTAGGATTTTCGGCGGGTTCGAGGGAAATTGGGGCTTTCCCAGCCAAATTAGGCTTAGTCACAGGTATAAAACTTGATCCATTCATTGAGATCTACTTCTTTGTAAAATTTGATAATTTAGAGTTAGTCAGGAAATTGCGTTTCCATTCATTGGAAACCACCACATGCAGCGGAGCGTGGCCTTCTGACCGCCGTCCTCGTGGCGGCTCGTGCGGCGGTGTGTAGGAGAAACCTGAGGTCCCTCTTTAAGTTTTTCGACGTGCCAAGTTCAAATGCGCCGTCCGTTTTTCCAAATTCTAACATTTTCGTAAAGTTTTATTAAACGACCTTTAATTGTGTTTAGGTCATCAATAGAGGTGATCCCGTTCTCGCTAGTTCGAGCGGTTTTCAGATGATAAAATATCTGTGAATGGATGGACCCCTTCTTAACTTATATGTTTTTATAAAATATTAGCCTAGCATGCTTTCATATTTCATGACTTAAAATGTGTTTTATAATATGCTTTATGAACTTTTATAATTATGGTTTACGAAATAGTTTGATTTATCGAAATTACGTTTTATTAAAAGTATTGAATTATTGGATATGAATTTCTATGGATTTCGAATATGACTTATTATGGATTTACGAATATGAATTACCATGGATTTGCGAGTTAAGTTTTGGAGATTTCGAATTTTGGTTTGGATATGAGATTTTCAGCTACATTTTCGGTACTTATCTAGTGGGTTATCATACAACACATCCACACACCACGGGTATAGATGTCTATGGCCATAGGACACAGTTGATGAGGAGAAGTGAGATTATGAGATATGATATATACAGGTTATTCAGCTTCACATTCGGGTGATGAACATGTATTGCCTTTGGACGACTATGATACCCCTAGTTGAGTACATCACATATATGATTTACAATGTTTTACGAATGTTTTACCTGGCATTCTAGGGTTTTTATAAAACCTATATGTAGTATTATATATGTGTTTTCAAAACAGGGGGTTATTATGTTCAGAAATAAAATATTTTCCTATTATTAGTATTATTATTATAAACTTTGGTTCACTCACCTTTCTGTTTTTGCCCCCCTTTAAGAGTTAGGATCGAGGCACATGATCCCGGCGTCAAGGCACTTCAACATAGGTATCCTCAAGTCTTTTCCGTGTAGGTATCATTCCCTTGTTCGTATCTTTTTCTAATAATCTTTCTATATTATTCTTAGTAGTTGTATACTTTGAACATGTTTCTGCTTTGGTATAATAGTTCTAATTGCATATATTTTATTTGCATGCATGTTTAAAATGGCTTCGTCACCCATGAGTGTCGGCCAGCACGTGCCTACCCTGGTATGTGGGGATATCGGGGTTAGGGTGTGTCATCCGTGCGTTCCTCATTTGCAGATCTCGAATCCTAGTTCGCGAATCCATCAACTCAGCCATCACGACCCAACGAATCGATCATATTAATGTAATTATTCAATGACTTGCTGCCCAAATTGATCATCTTGGCGTCATAGTTGAAGGTGAAGTTCTAGAAGACAGAGACGTGTGTGTGAAGTTCTGGAAGACGAGGCTGCACTACGCCTTAATTTCACATTGGTCGTCCTCGCATAGATGGGCAAGGAAGGGAGAGTTCGTGACATAGAGTGCTGAGAAGTTGAAGTTCTCGAAGACGAGCTCATCGATGACACGTTGGATGGAGGGGAGGCGAAGAGGGCCTCCGTCAAGAGAAGGAACGACAGGGCAGGGTTGACCCAGAGGAGGGAGGAGATCTGGTGCGGCGGGGTGTGTAATCGAATAGAGGATTCTGTGTAGTTTTTAGGTTTTTTATTTTTTACTTTTTAGCCAAAATGGTCCATAAGATTTGCATAACACATCACTTTGGTAACTGAGATTGAAAATCAATAGAAATGGTCATTGAGATTGTCCACCATCCATTATTTTGGTCATTTCGTTAAAAACTCCATTAAGTGTTCCGCAGCTCTTGGCCGAAAGTTTGGGCAATTTTTAAAGCTTCTTAACTCAATCGTTTCTTAATCAAATTCGACCCATAATATATCAAAATGAAGATAAGAAAGTATAGAACAAGATTATACATATTTGGAAGCCCAATGGTTGCCAAAAATCGCAGAAAAATAGCTTGAAAGGTGATTGGTCCGCAAGAAAACTGGAAAACTTGCCGAAAACTGGGTAAATTATAAACTTTAAACTAAAAGGTGACTTGATTTCGTTGATTATTGAAGAAGTTATGAACGTTTACAATTTGCCCAGTTTTTGGCGAGTTTTCCAATTTTCCCGTGGATCAGTCACCTTGCAGGCTATTTTTTGGCCATCTCCGGCAACTATTAGGCTTCCAAATAGGTATAATCTTGTTCTACACTTTTCTATCTTCATTTTGATATATTATGGGTCGAATTTGGTTAAGAAACGATTGAGTTACGAAGCTTTGAAAATTGCTTAAACTTCCGGCCAAGAGCTCCGGGACACTTAATGCAGTTTTTAATGAAATGATCAAAATAATGGATAATGGACAATCTCAAGGACCAAAGTAATGTGTTATGCAAATCTCAGGAACCATTTTGGCTGAAAAATCTTTATTTTTTTATTTTTTTTATCAAGGGGTGGGTCCTCCATGCAAAAAAAATAAAATAAAAGATTTTATTTTTTAGTATTTAATTAATTTTTTAATAGAAAGTGGATTCCGTCTAAAGCCACGTCACTATTTAACGGAAAAATTGAAAGTATAAAATTGTAAAAAATTCGTAGATAAGGTATGACATTGAATTTTTTTAAGGATGAGGTATGAAATAACACTAAATCTTGGCCACAGATCGAACTTAAATATAATACCATTCAAACACTTCCTTTTATCTTTCACATATTTTTGTTAATTTTTTTATTTATCTTCTTCAATTTATTTAATCCGACGACGGAAAATTGAAAAATTGTGTGAAAAATAAAAATAAAGGTGTGAAATAGCACCGCCAAATGAAAACTCCATTGCATGAGAGGCCTTTCTCGTTTGGTTGGGCCGGACTGCGATTTTCTTTCTTCCCCGGATTGGACGGGATGAGAGCCCAAACCCGGATACCCTTTCTCCTCTGCACGTCCTGGTGTTCGCGCTCTTTGTTGCTCCCTGTCGACTGTCGAAACCCACGCTCCTTCTTCCTCCTTCATTCAACCTAGATCCCCAAAACGCACGTTTCGCATCTCTCTCCTTCTCTCATCAGAATCTCTAAAACCCTAATTATCTACGCAAATCCCCAAATCTCCCGAACATACACCCGCGCACAACAGACAAACGAATACTAAGCTCACCCGATGGAGGACTCCGACGGAGGCCTCAACTTCGACTTTGAGGGAGGCCTCGATGCACCCGCCACCGTCTCGGCCTCCGCGGGCCCCGCCAATACGGTCCCAACTTCGAATTATTCCGTGATGCAATCCGACTCCGCCGTTACCGGGCTGGGTGCCAATCAGGCCGCTGCGGCGCCGCAGCCCAATCAGAATGCGAACCGGACAGGTGGGCGGAGCTACCGACAAACGGTGTGTCGTCACTGGCTGCGCAGCCTTTGTATGAAGGGCGATGCCTGTGGGTTCCTCCACCAATACGACAAGTCGCGGATGCCCGTGTGCCGCTTCTTCCGGTTGTACGGCGAGTGCCGCGAGCAGGACTGCGTGTACAAGCACACTAACGAGGACATCAAAGAGTGTAATATGTATGTGCTTGCTCTTCTCTGCCAGTTTCCTGATTCATCTTTGTTGGTTTTTGGTTTAATTTGGTGATTCTGATCTGGAACTTAATGGATAGGTTAAAGTTTTACTGAATTCAATTCAATTGTCCTATTGTGATATTGATGTGGTGGATTCCTTAGGAATTGTTGTTATTGGTATTCTGGGATCATATGATTTCGACGATTCGAGGTGCATAAGTGGAGGGCAGAAGGAATAAAATTATCTAAAGTTGTTGCTTCTCCTCATTATTTAAACTTCTTTATCCGAAATATTGGAGTCTAGTTTCGGTGTGAACAAAACCATGAATTTATCGAAAGTGTATTTGTTCTTATGGAAGGGTTTTGTCATTGTAGGTACAAGTTGGGTTTTTGTCCAAATGGTCCTGATTGCCGGTATAGACACGCAAAGCTGCCTGGACCTCCACCTCCAGTGGAAGAAGTCCTTCAGAAGATCCAGCATTTGACTTCTTACAATTATAACAACTCAAGTAAGTTCTATCAACAAAGGAATGCTGGTTTTCCCCAACAAGGAGATAAGCATCAGCCTGCACAAGGACCCAACAATTTTGTGGGAAAACCTACTACAGCAGAGTCTGGCAATGTCCAGCAGCAGCAACAGCAACAGCTTCAACAAACCCAACAACATGTTGGCCCCACACAGACACAAACTCTTCCCAATGGCTTAGCTAATCAGGCAAATAGAAGCGCGTTGCCTTTGCCTCAAGGAACATCTAGGTTTGTTCAGAGTCCCAAGGTTTTTTATTAGGTTTTGTAAATCAATTCATGTATAAATTGTTTGGTCAATAATTCCCGAAAGAGTTCGGTCCATTCTATCGGCTGTAACTAGCTTTCTTTAAAGTTTAAACCTATATTAGCTAACTTTATGAGTAATTACTCTGTATAATTTGTACTTGACCACATTATGTACGAATTTTGCTTTTTCGTATGTAGTTATACATGGAGTTGCTTTCTCCCAATAAGTTATTGACCTAATAATATTTTGTTATTGAGAGATGAAGGATATCCTCTTCTATTATTCTATTTTTCCATTGTACTGCAGTAAGGAAAATTTATGGCAAGATTTACTTGCTTGGGTATGATAGGGTAATAAGAAATGGCTGAAATTATTTACATAACTTAGTAAATTTCACGTTTTTTGGTGCTAGGAAAAAAGTTTGTATCTTTATCCCCAATATATGGTATTTGTTGCATATGGCTGTAGTATGTTAATTATAACTTTCTTGGAATCTGGGAGACTCCTAAGAGACCAGAAAGTCAAGACAGTTCTGAACTCTTAAGTAGGGTTTAAGCCTGAAATGTTTGGCTTTTACAAATTTACAGCTGAAATAATTAGTTGACTTGTCAGTAGGTAGGGAGGGAAGAGGGAAATAAAGAACAGGGTACCCAAAGCAAATGTATTTTGATTTTTGAGTTGCAATAAGAAGCAAAAAGCTCAACTTCGTAAGCCACTTGGATTGAGCAATGGTGCCTAGATAGGTTCCTAGATGTAAGCTCAGGGCTTAAGTTGGACCTCGGCTGAATAAGATGTTGTATCTTGAGCTTCCTGAACTAGAAGTCCTACACAACAGTGACTTTGTTGATAAGGAAGGTCCATAGAAAAATATTTGGATGAGTTTTATGCGGAGTCTGGGAACAGGTCCTCCATTGTGGGTAAATGGGAATCTTGACTCTATGAACCCGAGGAAGGGCTGCACAACCATAGTAGGGGCGTTATGACCTGAGCTTTTCGTAGTGCTAGTAGGAATGCCAGTGCATGAATCCCATCCCATAATGAATGGTTTGGTGATGTGTTGAGTTGTAGGGTTCCAAATATGTGTTCTGTCAATGAACATTCAGATTCTGGAATATACAATATACTCTGACCTGGCTCTGCAGAAAATTTCCTTGGGAACATGAGTCAAATATGTTCCTACCTTCAAACTGCATTTGATATTGTTGGGGGGCTAAGGTGCCATAAATATAGGTTGTGAATCTCAAAAAGCTTGTTTGCTATCAACCTTGATTGCCTGTTCCCCAATGTAGATTTGGATCATCTAGATAAAGTTAGAAAATATACATATATGTGGTTGTTATATCAGTTTAAGCTGCTTGATATATGCTACCAAAGTGTGCATCATTGCTTACTGCTTGCTGCTACTCACTGTTAGTTTTGGAGTTTTGTATGATGGCTGTATAGGTTCAAAGATAAAAATGCACACCCAACCTGCTTGCTGACATTTTTTTGAAATGTCGTATTGTGATAATTAGAGGTCTCACTTGGTGCGATGGCAAGTGCCTTCGCCCATGAGCGGTAGGTCTCGGGTTCGAGACTTGGGAGCAGCCTCTCCATAAATGGGGGTAAGGCTAGCCGACATTCACCTCTCCCAGACCCTGCGTAAAGCGGGAGCCTTGTGCACTGGGTACGACCTTTTTGTCGTATTGTGATAATCATCTTCCCATTAAATTTTGTACTGTAAAGTCAATAGTCATATCATTCTTCCTACCTAATGAAATCTCTTGACTGTTTCTCTACATGTATTACTCTTCTTTCCAATTAGTGCACCTGTTGTATGAAATTGGATATACTTATTTATTTCAAACATCAAACCTTAGGTATTTTATTGTTAAAAGTTGCAACCGAGAAAATTTGGAATTATCTGTACAACAAGGATTATGGGCAACTCAGAGGAGCAACGAGTCCAAACTTAATGAAGCTTTTGACTCTGCTGAAAATGTGATTTTAATTTTCTCAGTCAACCGGACTCGACATTTCCAGGTAGGATTGCAAATTACATCCCAATGTTTTTCACATCGCTTTCTATTTTTAGTTATATCAAGTTATCCACTGGGGGTGCTAGAATTAAAATTGCCTATTCTTTGTTAGGGTTGTGCAAAGATGATGTCCAGAATTGGTGGGTCTGTTGGTGGAGGGAATTGGAAATATGCACATGGAACCGCACATTATGGGCGAAATTTCTCTGTCAAATGGTTAAAGGTATAATTTTGTTTAAACTTTATGGCAACCTTCTACTCATTGAGCTAGAATTTGATTCCCTCTTTGATATTTTTTTCTGCTGCAAACAAACAGGATCCTACAAAATTTCTTGTGAGAATTATCAAGTCTGTTTTATTATTGTTGTTGTTCTCACTCTTACTGATTGGCATGCTAAGGAGTATGGCTTTGCTTTTATGTTCCTTGTTAGTTGTAGTTCACATTATCTGTTTTATTTGTTTGAGGGCTTGTATCTTAATAGTTACTTAATTCTTTTGATCCTATGATCTCAAATTGTTGGCTTGAATCAAGATTGGAGTTGATTGTACTCGTATCGACTTTAAGTTATTTGGACTTATTTCAATGTTTCAATTCATAGCATACCTAAACCCCCATCTGTGTGCCAACTTGAGTCAAGTTTCAGTTGGGATCACTACTTCCATCTGGAAATTAGGAGAAGCTATTATGATGGAAGACCTCAGTTTAAAATTTAATGGGCATGGATAAGCAGTAAATGATAAGATGTGATGACTAATTGCAGTTTCTTTGATGCAGCTATGTGAACTATCCTTTCACAAAACTCGTCATTTGAGGAACCCCTACAATGAGAACCTACCAGTGAAGGTACAATCTGGAGCCTTAAAACTATAGAAACACCCACGTAAACACCATTTGATTTTTGTCTGTTCTTTCTTGATTGATTGTGAAATCACCCAATTTTTATTTCTGTCAGGATTTTCATTATGTATCAGTATGCAGCTGGTTTGTCATGCTATCCATGATTTAGACAGCTGAAAACATTTTCTTACATTTATAAAAGACATTCATTAATCAAAATGAAAGTTACGATCCAGGGGACTCGGAGTCCACTGAACAGTCTTGAGTATCAAACTTAAATTGATAACCAAAACCTAAAAAATAATACAATATAACCCATATGACTAAATGTACAATCCATCAATACATATGTGTGCATGTATTTTTGTGGGTCCTTTGTGGTTTGTGTGTGTGTGTGTGTGGTATTAACAGATAAGTTAGCATTGTTTAGAACGATACTGAAGTTATTGTCTAATGTCATGATGTATCACTTGGCCGAGTGCTGCTTAAATATAAGTGTTGATGCATCACTTGGTTCTTAAATAGAACAAATCTGATAGAATATCATGTTAATAACTTCTTTACGTGTGCGCCTATTTTTTATTAGCTGTTTCACCATGCGTTTTCACTTGCAATCATTACTATTGTCAACATGTATGCTTGCTCATGTGATACTACTTTCTTGTGTAGACATACCTTGAGACGAAAAAAATAACTTCTGATCTTATTGTCGTGCTTGTACTCTTGCAGATAAGTAGAGATTGTCAAGAGCTAGAGCTCTCCGTCGGTGAGCAGTTGGCATCCTTGCTTTATCTTGAGCCAGATAGTGAACTTATGGTATGTTCGAAGTTCACAGGAAACTAGTTAAATTTTGCGAAAAAGAAATTGAAGTGAAAAAAAAAAGGTTAAAAGGAAAGAAAGCAAAAAGAGAGAAAGCAATAGAATTCCAAAAGTATTTACACTGTGTTTATCAATTAATTTTTAACATAGGAATTTATCTCGATACTTCTCCTCTCTTAGTTTTCATTTGTGTCGTCCATTAAATTAGAGGCCATTTTGCTGTTAAATTAGAGGCCATTTTGCTGTTAAATTAGAGGCCATTTTGCTGGGGCAGGACAAGATCTGTTTTGCACTATAATGTGTCCTTTGCTTTTAATTTTATGTTGTTAAATGGTCAGAACTTGATGAATCTGAATCTTGTTTATCGCTCTCTGCGTACAGGCAATTTCGATTGCGGCAGAATCAAAACGCGAAGAAGAAAAAGCAAAGGGAGTCAATCCAGAGAATGGTGGTGAGAATCCAGACATTGTCCCATTTGAGGACAATGAAGAGGAGGAAGAGGAAGAAAGTGAAGATGAGGAAGATAGCTTTGGTCAAGTTCCCGGAGCAGGAAATGATGGCAGAGGAAGGGGCAGAGGAGGAGGAGTCATGTGGCCTCCTCACATGGCTCTACCAAGAGGTGGCAGACCTATGCCCGGGATGCAGGGTTTTCCCCCAGGAATGATGGGTCATGATGCAATGCCCTATGTACCTGACGGATTTGTAATGCCAAATCCGTTCGGTATGGCCCCTCGGGGTTTCAATCCGTATGGTCCCAGGTTTTCAGGTGATTTTACAGGGCCCAACCCTGGCATGATGTTTCGTGGGAGACCACAACAACCTGGATTTCCACCCGGTGGGTTTGGGATTATGGGTCCTGGACGTGCACCATTCATGGGAGGGATACATCCAGGCCGAGGTGGTCGGCCAACAGGTATGTCTCCAATGTTTCCACCACCCCCACCACCATCATCTCAAAACCCTAACCGGATGCCGAAGAGAGATCCAAGGGGAGCTTCCACTGATCGGAAGGGACAAGATATGTCAGGTCCAGATGATGAGACACATTATGGTGCTGGAAACAGCTCTAGAAATGATGATAGCGAAAGTGAGGATGAGGCCCCGAGGCGGTCGAGGCATGGAGATGGAAAGAAGAAACGGCGAGACTCGGAAGGAGATGCGACCTCCGAGCACTAGCAGCTCAGCAGTACTAGTGATGCCATGCCCATGCCACTAACGAGGGAAACCCGTCTTCCTCCACACCATAGGCTGACCGCATTTTCTTAGAAAATGGAAGGGTTTCATTCGGGATATATGGATTCTTTAGTGCTACTGATGTCTTTCCTTTTTGTTACAAGTTTGAAATATGCGGTAAATTCTGTGATATTTTTGTAACTATCCTGGTAAATTCTGCGACATTCACCTCTCTCAGACCTTGCGTAAAGCGGGAGCCTTGTGCACTGGGTACGACCTTTTATCCTGGTAAAACAAAAGGTAAAAGGTCAAGGTAGCTGAATTTATAATTATATAACTTTTTTTTAATCCTCTGCAGCTAGTTCGAATCGATTTAGTACAGAATACCGTTAGTATAAAAATAAAGCGGATAATAAAAAAAAAACAATGGATTTTCGCATTCAATTTTTAGTCGTTTGCACTTCAAAATAGAGTAGCGCGGAGTTAAAGTTGAATTCTCTCCATCACATTATTGTCACGAAAAAGCCGTTAGTATTAAATCTCAACGTTTATTTTTTGTATATTGATGTGCGGAGAGCATTATGCTAAAGTTATAAGTAGTGTTTAAAATATTAGTATTGGTGGTTCAATATGTCGATGAATATACTGATATCACTATCGGTTACTTTTGATGGAAATTATGAAAATTTGTTTTAAAACGTGAACATTTAAAATGAAACTTTTAGAGTGTCATATGACAATTTATCGATATTTAAGTGATATGTCTAAAAATCAACGAAATCTATTGGCTTTAGTTGAAGTTGAAGTTTATTTGTTATCTTGTGAAGTTTAAACTTCATCACTCATTTTATATCTTTCTCTAATTTTTTCGATATTTCTACGATAATATCGAAGAAGTTTCAATGATTATGAGTTATAACCCAACGAAACAAAACTTTTGGGCCTGGAAAGTAGAACAACTGTTACGAGTTCAAATAAATCGAACCCGGGTCACTATACATGGACCCACGACCCGAAATTCTAACACTTCCTCACCGTCTTCCTCGCCGCTTAAACCTTAAACCCACCAAAGACCAAAACCCTAGCAAACCAGTGCAAGCAGCAGCATTTCCGACTTCACCTCAACACTCCGCACATTGATTCCGACCATGAAGAACAAGAAGAGAGGCGGCGGCTCAGCTCCCAAGGGACCCAAAAAGGGCAAGGCTTTCTCTCTCGACGAAGATCCCTTCTTCGGCACCGAATCCAAGAAGCGCCGGAAAGTCGAGCGCGATGAGATTGAGAGCGAATCCGACGACGACTACGGGGCCGTCGGGTCGGACGGCGAGGGCGGCGGAGAGGAGGCCGAGGAGGAGGGGGAGGCTATAGTGGAAACGGCAGACGAGAAGAGGAATAGGCTTGCTCATGAGTTCTTGGAGAACACTCGGGAGCTGCTGAGGAGGGCCAAGGAAGATGATGAGGATGATGATAGCGGTGAAGAGGGTGTGAAGGAAGGCGAGATGGACTCGCTTGTTGGCAAGATGTTGCAGCAGCAGCAGCTCGAGGACAGCGGCCGAGCTCGCCGTGCCATTGCTTCTAGGTAATCACTGCTTTTTACCTTCCTTTTTTTTTAATTGAAATTGTTTTCATTAGAAGTTGTTTATCTGTTTTTGTTGTTTTCGTTTAACTTGTTAATCAGCATTTCTATTGTTTGCCAATTTTCCTTTGGTTTGTGCCGAAATTTGGTTCATTCGTGTTTATTATTTGCGATTGTGGGTGTTTATGTTAGTGATTAGATTGTAGGTGTTGTTATCGTTTCAAAACTTGGCCAACATGTAGCGGCATTTTGATCGGTATTTGGATTCAAAGTTGTAATCTTTATAAACTTCCGTTTTGATTTAATGCTACTTTATTCAGATGCTATCATGCTACCATCAGCTTTCTTGCTTAAGCATTTTCTTGTCTGACACTTAAGTTTGATGGGTATCTTGGAATTTTACTTCCGTCTTGTGGGTTATTTAATCTGTTACTTTGTGGTACCATGTTCCTAATTCCCATGTTGAATTCTCTCATTTCAGGGTTAAAAAGCCAGAATCTACTGATGAATTTCGGATATTAGTGAAGCATCGACAAACTGTTACTGCTGTGGTTCTGTCCGAGAATGACCTCAGGGGCTTTTCAGCTTCTAAGGATGGCACCATTCTACATTGGGATGTAGATAGTGGGAAAAGTGAAAAGTATCTATGGCCTAGTGATGAAGTACTTAAGTCTCATGGGGTCAAGGATCCACAAGGTCGAGCTAAAAAGCATAGTAAACACGTGTTAGCACTAGCAGTTAGCTCTGATGGTCGGTATTTGGCAAGTGGGGGCTTAGATCGCCATGTTCATTTGTGGGATACTCGTACACGAGAGCATATTCTGGTAAATACGATTGATTTGTTGCTTCTTTTTGGTTATGGAGTAGAATAATACGTTAATGTTTTGGAAATTGTTAGTAGGTTGTGGTTTAATAAACTTAGTTTAATCAGGATAGGGGAGTGCAGTTGACCTCTCATACTGTTAGGATAATTCACTAACTGTAAAATTGCTCGTGCATAGAGAAGGGCCTATGTGCCTATATACAAATCATAAGTGAATGACCTAATTTATTTTATTTTTTTACAAGAAATGCTTTTGTTTTTATCCAACAGAAGTACATGTTTTTCTTTGGCAAAAGCAGTATTATCTGTAAGCTTACTCACATGTCGTCCATATATTGGGATTGGGATGCATCGACATGTTAAAGACACTGATGAGGAATTATGTCTGATTATGCTATAGAAAGGTCCTAAACAAAATAATGAAATGTCAGGGCTGTTGATGTATTGTTTGTCAACTTAAGTTTTGACAGTAAGCTATAATTTTTTATTATGCATACGCACTCTCCACTTCTCCCTCCAAATTTTGTTAGAAGCAATATTTGTAACTACGGAAAGGTTTTATGATCTGTTCTTAATTTTTTTTTTTCCTTGCGATCTGTTCTTAATTGAACTTTGTGTTTGTTAACAGGCTTTTCCAGGTCACAGGGGCCCCGTTTCATGTTTAACTTTCAGGCAAGGGTCTTCAGAACTTTTTTCTGGTTCATATGATCGAACAGTTAAGATATGGAATGTAGAAGATAGAGCTTACATAAACACATTATTTGGTCATCAAGGGGAAGTATTAAGTATTGATTGCCTACGGAAAGAAAGGGTATTAACTGTTGGACATGATCGAAGCATGCAGTTATTTAAGGTAAAAAGTAAATACTTTCTATGTTTTGGGAACACTTGTAAATAAAACTTAGGTCAAATCACGTTGGCGGAAGCTACTAAAGGTCGTACCCAGTGCACAAGGCTCCCGCTTTACGCAGGGTCTGGGAGAGGTGAATGTCGGCTAGCCTTACCCCCATTTATGGAGAGGCTGCTCCCAAGTCTCGAACCCGAGACCTACCGCTCATGGGCGGAAGCTACTATTTCATATTATTCCTTTCCTTCTCATTTCTAAAATCCAAACTTCCTAGGAACCTTTAGCTTTCCTGTGATTAACTTTGGATCCCAATGCTATTGAATTGCACTACCGCATTAGCCAGACTTTTAGGATAGACTTTCTTTTTCTTTCAATTATATGTTCCAGAGTTACTTTGGTGTACTTACGGCATGTAGTCTATCTTAGTTTTGACACAATCATCCGTTACCTGAAACACAGGTCCCAGAGGAGTCACGTTTAGTATTCCGTGCCCCTGCATCTTCATTGGAGTGTTGTTGCTTTATTAGCAATGACGAATTCTTATCCGGCTCTGATGATGGAAGTGTTGAGCTTTGGAACATGGTGCGGAAGAAGCCTGTTTGCATAGTTAAGAATGCTCATCCTTTTTTGGCTGCACACAAAGAAGTCGAACAAAAGGATGGTGATAGAATCCCAAATGGTCACATAGGTAAATTTATCTAAAACATTCTTAAGTTTTTCGGTCTTCAAGTTTTACCCTGCGGACGCTTTTCTTCCCAGTTAGTTGTGTTCTAACGGGATGGTATTGAATTTTGTTGTGCAGAAAATGGTAACCACACTTCTGAAAGCTTTGATTGTTCATCAACCAATTCTTGGATCAGTTCAGTCACTGTTTGTAGAGGCAGTGACCTCGCTGCATCAGGAGCTGGTAATGGCTCTGTTCGATTATGGGCTATTGAAAGTGAGAGCAGAGTGCTTCAGCCGTTACACAACATCCCATTGGTATGCCAAATCAATTATTAAAAAACCTTGTTTGCCTCGTGTAAATCAGAAGTTAACAAGTTTTTTTTTCTTCCCTCAATATTCTTGTTCCGTGCAGGTTGGATTTGTGAATTCTTTAGCTTTTGCAAAATCTGGACGGTTTCTGGTTGCAGGAGTTGGGAAGGTGACCTCTCTTTTCTTTTCGATCTTCACTTATTTCGCCATCTTGCAATTTTTGCTTTCTCATATTCCTTTCAACTTCATCGATTGAAAGGAATGCTCAACTTTAAGATTGAACTTCGAAAGTGGATATGAAAGTTGAAACATTATAATAGTGCAGTGCAAGCGTAATGCTGCTAGAGCTTAAGGTTTTTTTGGGGCAAGGAGAACGACGCAAAACTTAAATTTCTGTTTCTTGAATACTTCATCGGGATATTTCTGAACCCGTGTCTATTTTCTTCAGTTTTGTTTCCATATTGTTCACTTTACGGAAACAATCTCAGCTTCTAACATTGCCAATGACCTTTGCGACAGGAACCTCGTCTAGGAAGGTGGGGACATAACCCAGCTGCTCGGAACGGAATCGCAATCCATTCCATTAAGCTTTCATCAGAAGATACAAACACTCTCTAAGCTCTCAGTTTTGACAATCATATGTTCTTGCATCTCCCAATTTTGACAACAATGAGTTGATGAGTTAAATGAAATGATGTTCCTTGTGCTCAGATTTTATGTAGTTGAGCTTTTGTTCTTGTGCTGCGTCATCGACGACGTTGAATTTCATACGACGAGGAACG